CGCTAACATCTGACACCCCTCAAACCGAACTGCACCGGCAGCCAATCATCGAGAGAATCTCAGCCGCGAAGGAACGCTCGCGAAACAATCAAAGCGTCCGCGTTCGGTCGCGCAACCCCTTAACCCAAAAGTTCGCCGGTCATAAACTCGGCCACGATCGATCATCCGCGTCCGAGCGTTGGTCCAGTGAACTCGGCCACTCGCGGGGGAGAAAAAAATCGAATGCCGCGAGCCATTAACTGGCGGATAATGGCCGGAGGGTCGGCGTAGCGGGGCGCGGAGGGTTTTCGAAAAATCTGGCAACGATTGTCACGGTCGACTCGTGCCAGATTCCCTCTTCAGCTCTCTGGTGGATACTCGACGGAGAGAGCCGGAGAGAGACAAAGAGAGAGAGAGAGTGTGCAGAGAGGTGGGAATCAATAGGCCCGTATTGTAGCACGGATTTGCAAGCCGCCGGCGGAAACCTTACGTATTCAACAGTGAGTCACACTTCCAGGAACGTATCCCAACCCCTCTGCCTCTCTTCTCGCTCACCTACGACAATGTGCCACGGCCATTGTTTCCCACCCTTACCAAAATCAAACGCTCCCCGGTGCTCCCTCCCCCCCAGCCTCCTCCTCCTGACCGTGCGTCGTGTCTCTCTTCCTCCGCGTGTGTTTCGAGCCTCAGCCCCATTCTTTTTCCTGTTGCACCCCCTTTTCAAACGCGATCACCGTGATTTCCATTTAGGCGTTCGTTTCAGCGCTTCCCGTTCGGGGCCGCTAATGACTCCTGCGGTAATGGCTGCGCGCGGTAACTCCGTTGAAAAGCGAGGATCGAGTAGCCTCTCGATCGCGTTCGGCTCGGGTCGCGGGTTTCTTCCGGCTGTTTCTCGTGCGTCGGTGACTTGGTCAACCTGTTGACTCGTCGACTCGTTTGCCAACATGGCTGGCTGCGGGACGGCGGGGCTCGTTTGGCTCCGAGCTCTCGGCAGCTCTGGGATGTAGGTTTCAATCTGTTTTCACTTTGAATTTCATCTTTCTATGAAAATTCTATCCTTCCTTTGGAAAGACTGTACTCTTAAGCTTGTAAAAATCATCGAAGAAAGTACCGACACCGGTTCGCCTATAAATTCCTTATCTCCTCGAATGATTCATAAATGAAGTCGTTCCGCATGCTAATGATTAAGGACTCGGTGCGCAATCTCGTCGGATGGCAACGCTCAAAGTTATCCGAACACGGTCCAAACGACAATCGCCGGCCGCGATAAGATAGCCCGTGTTATTAAACACTCGGCAGACGTAATAAATACGAATCGTAACCGTGCACCTATCGCTGAGCGAGTCTACAGTTTCCCGAGGGACCGAGGTCTCGATCGGCGGCCATTCCTCGAACACCGTCCCGCGACAGAGAGCCGGTTAAACGAACACTTAACGATTCCGGCTGGTTACAATCGAAGTGGGTCGAAGTTGATTGAAACTGAATCCCCATCTACCTCCTCCTCCTCCTGCTCCACCTCCGTCTGTCTCTCCGAGCGGTTGATTTTTAAATTTCCTCGTAACCGATACACGGTTACGGAGAACGCGTCTGGAAGTACTCTTCCCGTCTACGTGGATGGATAGGGCTGTCCCAGCTGTCGCAACGATGCATCCGAATTACCTTTAATACCTCTTTGTCCCGGTGCATCGGGTATGCGCGAAAGTTCTCGCCGATTCCGCTCGGCGATTTTTAGGGCCTCCGGGCCGAAGGAAATCACGCCGTTCGCGGAAACGTCGAGCTGCTCGATCGAGTGGAAAATAACGATGGAAACCATGTAATTGATTAACCCCTCGCCCTGCTTCTTTCGCGATTGCGCTGGCTGAAATGACTTTGTCGCCGATAATTCCTCGGAAACAACGGACGACTCTACGTTCGTCCACGTCCGCGTTCCGTTCGGAGCAATCGGAGGAATCGATAACGGGGATAACGCTTAATTCTGGATGAAACGAAGAATAATGCATGTCGACGCGCCTCTCGGAGAAATGATTAAAGTTGATTTAGTAATACCGAAACTTCAATGCGAGTCGGTTGAAAGCTTAGCGAACGCTTATAGTTCCCGCGAAGAAACACCGAAGAGTCAGCTCTCGAGTGCTTAGCAGTTCCGGCGTTAATGCAGCGCGCGGTTTTCCCGAAGTTCGGGCGTGCTCTTTAAATCGATGGGGGGACCCTTTCAGATACCCGATGCATTGTCTTCTCGCGGAATTCAGTCGAAAAACCTGAAAGAAACAGGAGGATCGGGAAAAGAGGCGGGCGGATCGAGGGGAACAGTTTTCCGAGTTCAGCAGACCTTGAACGGTACAAAGAGCGATGGCCACTGGTGGTTGGGAAAAGAGAGCCGTCCCGAAGGCCCGCGCGTGGAATAATCATCGAACGTAACCGTGGCCTTGGCTGAAGCTCGAGCCGCTTCCGGAAGAGGTTAATACCCGAAACGCATCGCTGACTCCGGAGGGCCAGACCGTGTCGTGAATGGTCCCGAGTTTCTACGCTCTCTCGCGGCGAGGAACGAGCCAGAGCTATTCGAACAATGCCTATTTATTTGCCAAGATCGTTATCCCGGTTAAAGGTCCAAGACGATCTTTACGGTCCCCGGCGTGTAATGACGCCGCGCGCGGGCGGAGCGGAGCCGGCGGGGCGGTCCCTTTCGTAATCGGTAACGCGTAATTGCCTAATTAAACGCGAACGTATTCTTCAGAGGCCGGGGCAAATTAAACCGAAGACGCGTAAGCTGATTCATTCGTGACGCCGCCGTAATTTGCCCTGCAATCTTGCGCGGCCGTTGGCTGCGCGCGGCGGATCGTTGGGCAAACGCGACGGTTAACGTTGTTACCAAGCGGGCCAGCGAAATTGTCGCCGGTGGGACCGGAGCCCACTCGTTCCTCCGAAACGATAATCCTGTCAAGCTTCTTTCGTTCGTCGTAGGCTTAGCAATTGAAACTCTCCATCGGAACTAGAACATTGGCAATTCAATAAATTAACAGTAGAACAGACTGAGAATCACCAATTCCAAATTTCCCCTCGTTGCAGATTGAAATCTTAAAAAACTCACGCAAGCTATAAAATCATAACACGTGCCAGAGAACCATCGAACCTTCCATTTCCAAACTGGATATCTGCTCCCACAATATCAAAGCTGCATTATCAGTTCCACCGGAAATCTCCACAAACATCCAGCCCCGGCTCACGCGACAATAGCCCTCGTTGTCGGCAGCATTCGGCGATACGTAGAAAGTCTCGCAATATCTCCAGCCATTACAACGGTGCGCATCACGTGACGGTATCTCGCATCGGCCGGGATCGATCGTCGCAGGGAACAGCTGTTGTTCGATCAACTTCGTTTTCACCGGCGGAATTTCGTCCGTGATTCCGTCGCTGGATTTTTCTATCGATCGTCGTCCTCCGCGCTGTCTAGCCGACCAAGGTCGGGCATCGTTAGATCCGAAAGGAAGCGGCGGTGACAAGGACAACCGGCGGGGGAGAGGAGAGGAGAGGAGAGGAGAGGAGAGGGACCAAACGCGATTCCTCGTTTCGAGCGTGGCCGGCGGTCCCGTCCACGGTCAAACCGTAGCCGGCGTTTGTCGGTCAATTAGAGTCCGGAGCCCGAGTACCGGTAACATAGAGGCGAACGCTTGTCGGTGAACGTCCGCAGGGGGTCGTCGACCCAAGCCAGCCAACCCAGGCCTTAGTCGTCGGCTTTAACGCTGCTTTTACCGCAACTACCTTAACTCGGACGTTCGCTGGGCGCGCGCTCTTCTCTCCGTTTCGCTCGCCTCTCGACGCTTCTTCCACTCTTCCGCGACCTTGATCCGAAACTTTTCAACCCTCCCGATAGGACCGTGTCGTCCGCAGCGGAATCTCGGTGGAGACTCGAGTGGGAGTTGCGTTCTGTTGTAATTACCTTACGTAGAATGTCGACCCCGATTGATAGCGACAGTGAGATGAGCTCTGAATATAGGGAATGGAAGTGGAATAATGCAAGCGCGGGGAACGAAAGCGGGAAGAGAAGTAGAGTTTTGTTAATCGTTTGAGTTTCATTAATAGAGATGTAACGTTGCATCTTTTGATCGTTTGAAATCTGTATACTAATTATGAGACACGGATTCCTGCAACTCTTTGAAGGTTCCTTCGTGGTAAACGTTCATCGTTTCTCAACGAAACGTCGCTGGCTTTTTCTAGCCTTTTAAGACTAGCTGCGAAACATCGATAGTCGCAGATGGAATAGCAGCGAAAGTATTGAGCCTGGACCCCGTCGATTCCCCTTCTATTCGTCCCCGCGTGTCCCACTCTTTCGCCGGTTGAACCGGAGAACGTCGTAATCGGGCGTCGAATTCGAACGATCAACGACTCCGCGCGGCGTCGTCAGCTCCTTAGGCGCCTTAATCTCTGTCCGAGCGATTGGAGTTCTGCCCAGAGTTCCTCGGTAAACGCTCGAGAGCATTGTCGAATAAATTAAGACGGCGGGGACGAGCCTGACGTGGTTCGTAATGGCTCGCTCGAATCCACCCTCTCACGGCGCGCGCCCCCGCCTCGCGCGGCGTGTTTCTCTAGCCGAAAATTTGCATGCGATATCGTGTGACTACCAGCTGTTCGCCGGTTCGGTCCCTGTAGACCGGCGCAGATTCGCTTGATAACGCCGCGGCGTTGGAATCCCGGTGAACGAGATCGATTTTTCGTCACCGCGACGCGCTCGCACGCTCTCCGCTCCGATTTTGCGTTTCGCGGGAATAGAGCCGACCGGCGATCCTCGGGAATTCCCGAAAACGCGGTCACGCGAGCCTGACCAAAGGTGAAACTCGAGACCAGAGGTTTTCCCGAGTTACTCAAAGTACAATGCTCGAAAGAAGTAAAACGAGAAGCGCGCGGAATAAACGACATTTGCGTATAGTTCGCGCGAGGGTCCAAGATTGACACAGTTTCCCTCGGCGAAATAGGCGACTCGAAAACTGTCGAACCGTCGAGTAACGTGGCCTCTCTCCCTGTTTCAGCAACTGTTCCGAAGCCAGCAGCAAGGTGCCACGCCTCAGCAGTTACAGTTGCTGCAGCAGCAGCAGCAGCAACAGCAGCAGCAGTACTTGGCCGCGTCGCAGGCCCAGCAGCAGCAACAACAACAGCAACAACAGAACTTCCCCACGGCACCTTATACAGTGATCAGCGGCCAGGAACCGTATGTCGGCGCATTGATAGCCGGAGCGCCGCCCCCGGTCGTGCCACAGTATTATGGAGTCGCACCTTGGGTTTACCCCGCCGGATTGCTGCCGCAAGCACCACCGCAGGCGGCCGCGCCGCCTCCGCCCAGAAGACCGCTGACACCATCGTCGGCCGCAGCCGCGGCAGCTGCCGCCCAAGACACCGCGAATAATTTGGCGCAGACTGTAAGCGGCTAATTAGTCCGTTTCCCGAACGAACCGAAACTACACGCTCGGGCCGCGCCACGTGTTTAGAAATAAATCCCATTGTCGCCGCCGCTGTTCGAGTCTCGCCGATACAGTTCCCGATCGCTGAGGCTCGCTTCTCCTCTTCGTCTGCCCCGGCGCTCCTAGTTTCTTCTTTCGCTCCCTCTCTGTTTCGCGAAGGTCTTCGGCGGCGATTAAATATAAACTGCGAGCAATTTAACGGGCCATTAATGTCTTCGCGTTTCGGTGAAAATAGTTAGGAATTCGGACCGTTGCGTTTGGCTCGGATCACGGTCTCAGGCGCGCGGCGCTTCGATCGCTTCGCTGGGAGTTTTATGTTCGGGAAAGAAGTCGTGACAGGGTGTCTAACTGGTGGCCCGCGAGCCTCTTCCTCTTGACTTGGTACTCGAGAACAGTGCGCTTCGAATCGTTTCTATATCGAGAACTTGGAATCATACGTGAATCGAATCTTCGTTACGAATCTCTGTCAACTTCTGTCGAACCAATACGACCGGCCGATCGAAAGGCGATAACTTTGCGAGAACAGCAGTCGCACACTTCTAATTTTGAAGATGTATATTAACCAGTGTATTGTTCGCGATGTTCACAGGTTCAGGGTCAATACCAGGTGATACCGGCGTATTACGATCAAAATGGGTCCATCGTGATGGGCGGTGTGCGCGGTTTGAGCTCCGCCGCTACCCCCATGAGATTGGTCAGCCCGGCGCCGGTTCTGGTGAACAGAGCTCCGTCGCAACCACCGCCGGGACCACCGGCACCACCACCGCCGAGTCTATACTCCCAGCCGACCCCCACGTCCCACAGCAACGCCACGCCAGGAGAATGTTTGGGTAAGATCTCCGTGCGATTCCTCCTCGAGATCCCACCTCGAACGGAACGGATTCGTTCCCTCGGCGTTGTAGATACGTGTTGTTCTCCTAACGATACTTCCTCCCCATCCCCCCTTCACTAGTAAGTTCGCTAGTTCGTCGAGGGCGGCCGCGTGAAACTGGCCGAGCGGACCTCTGAGAATATCCGCGCGGAACGTGTTCGCCGGTGACCTATTAACCGGTCGGTTTTCGGCCGAAATTGTATCGCGTGGTTGGCGGGTACCCTCGGGAATAATTATCGACGTTCTTTATTCGCGTACGTTTATCGCCTGCATTTCTCGCGAGCTGCCTTTTCGAAACTACCGCGAAGCATGGAACGGTAGCGAGGAATCTTTGTCTTCCGTGACTAAATTACATGGAAACGAAAGAAGCTAGAGGGATCGGAGGAAAACACGTTGATGCTTAAAGTTCGTCGACTTCGCAGGTGCATCCAGGAAAAGATTCGCGCGGATCGTACACGTAGCTAACACAAACGAAATCAATCCTCCGGAGTGCTCCTCGCGGCGGGCACAATGTAATTTACGATAACAGCTAATGGGTTCACTGAAACGCAAGAACAATCCGTCGAGCGGCTCGCGAACGCGCGAAGTCATTGAAAAACGAGACGAGCAGGCCTCGAACGAGCGGAGAACTCGTCTCCCTCCGGTTAACAGGTTAATCGAAGTTTAAGTGTTTCGCGTCGATACCGTTGGCAGTGGCTCGGTCGTTTCGCTCCGCGCCCCCGTCCGTCCGTCCGTCTGTCTGTCGGCCCCCGTATACATATTATGTACATACATGCATGGCGCATCGTGATATCGAGGACGTATCGAGAAGATCCGAGGAAGACACGCGATTAACGTCGCAGTAGCGTCGTCCTTTTTCTGTTTCTGTTGGCTGTACATACGTGTATACACGTCGTGTAATTAACCTCGTGACTAAAAAGAAAGACAAACGAGGGAGGGGAAAGAAACGAGAGGGAATGAGAGACGGAGAACGTACAGAGTTATATGCTTATATACAAGTGGCGTTCAGAAGTTCCCGACCAGATCGTTTATGGATCTTACACGATAAAGGCTCTAAGAATTTCTTCTTATTGACAAATTAAGGATATCGCATGACAAGATACTGTAAAAAAGTCGACACCATCTATTTACACACTGTTTCAGAAATAAAGAATTCAGCATGTTCAAAGGTTCTCGGCCAGAGTGTTAAAACAGAAAGCAATACTGCAAAGTAAATATTCCTCTAATCAACTATTATACTTAAAACGTAATATAAGCGTAATATGCCTACAATTTCTCTATTTCTCAAATAAATTATTAACGACAAAGTGACCGTATCGGAGTAAAGAAATCACAGGCCAAAGGGTTAACCGCGACACGTCGACGGTACAGGAACTCCGTTCGAAAACCGATTCGGCCGAGAACTTTCGAGCGCCACTGTATATAAACACATATATACGCGTATCGATGTCAATATCGGAAGCGCGCGTTGTGTGTATGCGTTTTGGAAGCGGCATTATCGACCCTAGGCTTAATAGACGGTGTAAGGTTGGTAAGGTACGGCAGATTAATTGATAACTAAGAGCGTGTGTGGGTTGCGGGCTTTCGGTGCAGGTCTGGCGGCGTGCAGCGCAGCAGCGGTGGTTGCACAAGCCCAAGCGGTCGCCGTACAACAGGCGCAACAGCAAGGATCAGGACTAGCCGCCGGTTTGGCGGCCCTCGGATACGGCGGCTCCCCTCTGGGGGCACTGGGCTCGCCTGCTCAGCTGCAGAGCACAGGTACAGAAGAGATTCCATCCTAGCCGGCGACCGATCTTTCGGGATGCGGCCGTAGGCTCCGCTGTTTTCAGGCGTCCGGCGGTGTGCGTCTCGCTCCGTGTTCTCTGTTCTGTACATAACCCGAGCCATATGTTTGCATGCCTCTCTCCTGCGAGACACGTCCGTTTTTGTCCTCTTTCGAGAAGCACGTGCACCGTACCAGCGAAGCCCCCCTTTCGCACCGCTCCCCCAAGCCCCCTGGCAGAACGCGATCCAGATCGCATCGAGGAATCGTTTTCACGTTGCAAACCGGAGATCAGTGTATAAACTATGTGTACATTAGAGTGTCTTTGTTTGTCGAGAGTAGCGTAGCGATTCCCGTGTAAAGAATGTAGCAGGGGTCGCCGAGGATGGCCTGAATGTTTGGAGACTTCGACGACCTGTTCGTCGAATCGATATTCAGTCCATAAAGAAGCAAACGTGCCTGTTGTATTAATATATTCTATGACTTCCGTCGCATCCTCTTCGCTGTCGAAGCTGTCTTTGTGAATAACTCCGAACAGCTTACCGAATACCTTTTGCCGGGGGTAATAGAATCAGACCGGAGACCGCGGCGTCCAGCGAGATCCCTCTTCAGAAGCACGTGATTTTGTTCGCAGGTCTGGGCCTCGGCGCTTCGTCCACCGCGCGAAGAGACTCGTTCGACAGGAACACGTCGGCGTTCAGCCCCAGCTTGGAGTACAGCCGCGCGAAGTGGCCCCAGAGTTACGGCGCACTCGGTAATCGTCGTCCTCGTAAAACCGGAGGCGGACCGCGATCCGGAATTTCATTTCTGGCCGGCGGCCGCTAACAGTTGATCCTGTTTATAGGCACGGTAACGGCATCGCCGAGCCCGTTAGGATTATCCTTAACACCGCCGCCAACTTTGGGAGGATCTTTGGGCGGACTGGTCGGCGGAGCCAGCCGGGTGTCCGCCGCACCCGGAGCGGAGGCGAAGTTCCGTGCGAGCGCGGTTCCGGCTTTAACGGCTAATGGAGTTTTCGGCTCGAGCAGTTCCCTTTTCCCCAACTTGGTGGGCAAACCCGGCCGCGGCGGCACCACCAGCATCGGGGACAAAAATGCCGGCGGACGATCACGCCTCCTCGAGGACTTCAGGAATAACCGGTGCGTTCTTTTCGATTTTATTGTGCGCGGAGGCGAAAAGTTGGCTAACTATCTGTAAGTTGAAAGGAGCTGCGGCTTAGATAGCTAAGGGAACAGCTGTTTAGCTAAGTAAGTTGCAGCGAGTAGCTGTAGTTTAGCTAAATGAACGAGAACGAACGAAATGAAACGCGGAGGAAGCGTGGTACAATGGGACACGTTATCGAGGTTTTCTTCCGCTTCAGGTTCCCGAGTCTCCAGCTACGCGATCTGGCCAATCACATAGTCGAGTTCAGTCAAGACCAGCACGGTTCCCGTTTCATTCAGCAGAAATTGGAGCGCGCCTCGGCCAGTGAGAAGCAGCTTGTGTTCCAAGAAATTCTTACCTCCGCTTACTCACTAATGACCGACGTATTCGGGAATTACGTTATTCAGAAGTTCTTCGAGTTCGGCACGCCGGAACAGAAGTCCACCCTCGCTCAAAAGGTAATTGCCTTACGGCATTTGTTTACGTCTCGAATGTTCATTTAACAGTCTGACCGCCGCACCGGACGATTGGTTATCGAGTATAGCCGAGGTTTGTTCGAACAATCGAATCAACTTCGACGCTATGGGACAAGCTAGCGCCGGTGCGTCGATCTGTTGAAATGATGATTATCTTTTGCGTGTCAACTGATTCGACGCAGTGATCGAGGATATTTCGATACTGATGCGGCGAGTCAGAGGCGCGCCGTTCGATCGTCGGAGTTTCGTTACATTGACGGCCGTGTTGCGATAGGTTCGAGGACACGTACTGCCCTTGGCACTGCAGATGTACGGCTGTAGGGTGATTCAGAAGGCTCTCGAATCGATCGGGCCAGAACAGCAGCAGGAGATCGTCCGAGAGCTGGACGGCCACGTTCTGAAGTGCGTGAAAGATCAAAACGGGAACCACGTGGTGCAGAAGTGCATCGAGTGCGTCGAGCCGCGGGCTCTGCAGTTCGTGATCGGCGCGTTCGCCGGCCAGGTCTATTCCCTGAGCACCCACCCCTACGGGTGCAGAGTGATCCAACGTATTCTCGAGCATTGCACCCCTGAACAGACTCAGGGCATCCTGCAAGAGCTGCACGCTGCTACTGATCAGCTCATTCAAGATCAGTATGGTAATTACGTTATCCAGCACGTACTCGGTGAGTAGCATTATCATCGTCGACTCGTTGCCCTTCGACTTGACACTGGAACGCCCGAACAACTCGGAATTAAACAATTCCGAGATAATACGATCTCGCGATAAGCTGGCTTCTCCAGGCAGAATTAAATAGATTTAACTCGATACCTGTCACCGAACCACGGGATAATACGGGATAATGCCTACCTGCATACACCGTTTTTAATTATTATCTTGTATCGTTTCCCCCACTGCCTCGGGATAAGATCATTCGAAGGCAGTTTGTGATTATCGGTCGAACGAGCAACACGTCTTACTTTAATCCTCGTGTGAATCGATCGGACTGCTCGGTAGTTCCAGTGTTAACGTTGTCTAGCCGGTGGCAGGAGGTAACTTGACTTTAACCGATGCGCTTTTAAAGAACATGGAAAACCGGAAGACAAAGCACAGCTGATCAGCAGCGTAAGGGGTAAAGTACTTACTCTCTCTCAACACAAATTCGCCAGCAACGTCGTTGAAAAGTGCGTGACCCACGCCACGAGACAAGAGCGCGCCGTGCTGATCGAAGAAGTATGCGGCTTCAATGACAAGTAAGTTGTGATTCTTATAAATAAACAGTTATTCAGGTTGCCCGGCCGTTGTCAACCGTGATCGCCATCTGTTTTTCGGGCGGTATATCCGATTCTCTGCATACGTTACGTAAACCATGAAAGAGTTTAGTGCGTGACTAATTTCTGTACGTGTTACGAAACAGCGCATTGAACGTTATGATGAAGGATCAGTATGCCAACTACGTGGTACAGAAGATGATCGATGTAGCGGAACCGGCGCAGCGCAAGGTATTGATGCACAAGATCCGCCCACACTTAGGCAGCTTGCGCAAGTACACCTACGGGAAGCACATCATCGTCAAGCTCGAGAAGTTCTTTATGAAGACCGCGTCAGCGATGGGAGTGGCGACGCCGGCTGGTGCTTCGAGCGGCGGAGGTGATCTGGGCCCTATAGGGCCGCCCGCTTCTGCTGCTGGCCCGGTCTCGACGCCAGCCCAGCAGCCGACGCAGGTTCTATAAAGCGTACGGTATCAGAAAAGTAACAACTGCTCGGGATCTTCGTACGTTCTAGGAATACGTACCAAGATATCTACGTAAACAAAAGAAAAAAAATATTTATTGCAACGTATGTATCTATCGCCATTTTATTTATAATGGACGAGGAAAACCGAGGATGCATTTCCGTGTGCCGTGAACTCGTCGTCTCGTTGCCCCTTCTCCCGGAACTGTAAAGCCGCGAAAGCGAGAGGTAATAATATTGACTAAGACGACAATGAAAGCGAAAATGGGTATTGGAAAAGATAAAAAACGATGAGACGATGATGATGATGATGATGATGATGAAGAGAGAGGAAAAGAATTTACCGAGGATGATTTTTCTTATTTTTGCAAAAACCGTGAAACTGAGTGACAGACACACGATTTGTACAGAGTTTAAACTAAAAGAGAGGGGACAACCCGGTGATCACGGTGCAAGGAAAAGAAGAGAATTTTCAGAGCCGAATGTGTGTCAGAAAAAGAAATCAATTTTGTAGAAATAACGTTAGAGGTGCAGTGCATTTTTTCTATTAGTAATCTAAACGTGCTGCCGAGTTATTATATTCGTAGCGAGCCGTGAGTCGATAGAGAGAGAGAGAGGAGTTGTTGTCGCGCGAAAGTTGCACCGATAACGCGTATATCTTTGAGAACCGAGTTTCTTCGAGACGGCTGGACAAGCGATCGAGCTTGAATCGTAAAAGAAACTGCAGTGCTGAGATGGCTGAATGTCTTATCACCGCTCGTTTTTATTCGATCAGTTTCACGTAATTTCGAGACACAGCACGAACAAACACGTTCCGACGATTTTACTATTTTCTTTTATTTTTCTTTTTTTTTCTTCTAAGGAAAAAAAGGCAAAGGAAAAACTACTTTTCTCCCCCTCGTTTCGAGTTGTGAATCGTTCTTTAACTAACACGCGAGTTATCGATCCTTTTTAAACTCAGCACTCTTTCGAGGGAGCGT